AGAAAAAATTCAGCTAAAACTACCATAAACAAAAGACCTATCGGACCAGAACTTTAAAGTTCATGTATTTCATTGTTCCATAAAAAGTATAGTTGGTATAAACATAGTTCTATCAGAATTTTTATTTCTTTCATATTTAGTTTTGTCGCTCTTTTAAAATTATCGCTTACCTCCAATAAACTAATGAGTACTTCAATTGCTTCTTTAAGAGGAATTGACGAGTATAAGTTTATAACGTCCAATGATACCTGAATTTCGTCACTGGATATGTCCCACGATTTTGCTTTTTCTACATATTGTTGCAAGTTTTTTAATCGAGTTGGGTTTGAACAATCTTACCCAATGCCTATTGTAGATACTACAGTTTGCATTGGGTAAGATTGTTCAGGCTTAAGTGCCTTCACTACACTATACATACAAGGTATCGGGTCACTGGGATAAATTTGCTGGTATTCATCTTTTGTGAACTGCCGTTTTTTATTTAATTTCGATAGTTGGACTTTGATTTTCAGTGCGTAACTTTTTGTTGGATCCTCATTGATAATTTTAGTTGGCCCAATTTGTTCTCAAGTTTTTTTAATGTTTTACCATGGGGGATTGTTACAAAGCCCATTCCTTTATCAAATGAGTATATATCAATATTGTTATCGTTTTTTAATTGTGTAAGTGCTTTCCGTTGTTCACGAGTCAGGTTGTTATTTTTATTATTTAAGTTTAGTTTTAATTCTCTCAAAACTTCTCTCCTCAGCGTTTCATCTTTTTTGTTGTATTCAAGTTTTAGAGCAGATGACTCGCTTATTGAGACGATGTCAAGATACGAAAAATATTTTATTGTTGGTACAAATTTTGGTCCAAGGTTAAGGAGACTTTTTTGATGTTCTGGAATTTCTGTGTCGCATAAACTTAAAACAGCTTCTTTAGTATAGATTTTCATGGGTGTTTGCTTAACGCGTTGATCTTGAAGAATGTTTTTATTAATTTGTCTTTTGATTTTACGAACATTTTCTCTCGTGCTTCTTCAGTGATTCTTTTTACGGCTTCATAATCATTTGTATCACTAGCATGTATCCAACAATTTCATTACCTTGGGTACCAAAACTGTCTCCCAAATTGCGTTAAGTGTTTAACGCAGGATATAAAACGGTCTTTAAATCAAACTTGAACCTAGAGGCAATATTAGCATCAAGAAATAAATCTAAACCACCCAAGAGTATTATTAAATGTCATTGTAGCAAAAAGTATATAGGTGAAACAAAAATGCAAATAAAAACACGCGTGCAACAACACAAAAACAGTAGAATAGGAAATAAAACAGAACGATCTGCTTTAGCGACATACATGAGACATTGTACACAAAAAATTAACTGGGACATTTGCAGAACTCTAAAAGTCGATGCTAAAAAGTTTGATAGGAAAGTTCGTGAGGCACTTGAAATTCACTACCAACAATGTGCCCCTCAACATAATGGTATCAATTTAGACGAGGGACAACATGTGTCAACAAAATTTTAAGCACCATTTCTAGCGCACTTACGTCAGAAAAAGACGAAACCATCCCATTGACATAAAATAGAACTGCCGCTTTTAAAAATAACATATAAACAAAAACAAACAAAAAACTTTTACATAACAATCCAGCAAAAACAACAATCGCAATCCAGCAAAAACAACAATCGCAATCCAGCAAAACAATCTTTACACAATAATCAGTGAAAATTTCTTTATAAAAATAAATTTAGCAACGAGAGAAAATCGTATTTATTGATGTTTATAAACTAACAATTTACATACTCTCAAACATGATGTCTATATTAAAAAAAATAAAAAACTATGTATATATATATATATATATATATATATATATATATATATATATATATATATATATATATATATATATATATATATATATATATAGTGAAAACTAAATAATTATTAAGGTATATTTTAATTACATAACTAAAAGTTTCACAATAGCGATCATCAGATGTAACAACAGCAAAAAAGTAACGACAAAAATTAAATACAAAAAAGCTATGGAGAAATATTATGGAAAATCATAATTTCAACTATTCATTAAAGAACATACCATTACCATCTAAAAAACAATACTTATATGACTAACGGAGAAAGTCGAGTCAATAATAAAGCAAATGAGATGGAAAGCTTTGATGCTCGAAAATAATCCTAATCAAGAGCCCGCCTATAATATCAATCTCAAGTTGAGAAAATCTCTACCGCAACATCCCGATTTAATAAGTTTTGAAAACGATTTATTTAAGCTAATTTAGAACATTTCATTTTCTACAATTCAAAACAATTTTCAAAAGCAACTACAAACTGATGTATTAAAAATAAAATCTTCAAGTAATGTTTTTGTATTTGCTGATAAATCAAGAAACCTGTACGAGCTAGATATACCTTTATATATGCGGTATGTTTTATCATATACGGTAGTGGTGTAGTGGAGTTCGGAGTTCGACTCCCACCACGTCCCTAGAAGTACCGCGCTCAACTTAATTTCTCCGCGCAGCGGTCTTACTTGTTAAGGTTCGTGTTTCGGAGTTAAAGAGTTGAGAGAGGGTTGTACCACGATTTATTAAAAAAAAAAAAGAGTAGCTTCCTCGACTGTAGTGGCTCCCTCGGGCCTTGGGGAGGTGAATAAATAAAAAAATATATATATATATCATAAACTTTATACTGAAAATGTTTCTAACACCTATAAAAAAATCTGATGTCACAAAATATAACATCATTAACACAGATGCTAAAATCATAGCAAAAGACTTGGGCGTAGATGACAGGCTAGAGCGTTTAGCCATGAATACAGTATTCATTATAATACTGTATTCATGGTAATTCATGGTATTCATTATAACTCAAATAAATAAAAAAAAAAAAATTACCGTAAAAGATCATAAGGATAAAATCCCCAAAAATATACAGTGCCGATTAATAAATCCAGCTAAACCGGAACTCGGAAAAGTAAGTAAAAATTGCACAACACAAATGACGTCATAAAATGGTTCAAATCCATACCCGAAAAAAATTAATATACTTTCATTCAGTACAATATTGACGAGTTTTACCCTATTATTTCCAAACAACTTCTTCAAGATTCTATAAAACATGCAAATCAGTTCACCAAAATTCCTCATAAATCACTCAAATTATTTACCGCACCAGGAAATCTTTACTTTTTTCAGGAAATAATATGTGGATTAAAAAGTTGACGGACCCTAATTTCGATGTCACCAAGGGGAGTTTTGACAAAGCCGAATTATGCAAATTAGTTGGCCTCTATATTTTATACACTATTGCCAAAGAATATGTTCTTAATACTACCGGTCTATATAGAGATCATGGTCTTTGCTTTTAAACTTTAAGTTATGTAATTAAAATATATCTTAATAATTATTTAGTTTTCACTTTATTTGCTCTACTAATTATATAACATGCTGTATTATTAACATAATTTCTACAATATATATATATATATATATATATATATATATATATATATATATATATATATATATATATATATATATATATATATATATATATGTATATATATATATATATATATATATATATATATATATATATATAAATATATATATATATATATATATATATATATATATATATGTATATGTGTATGTATACTATTATTATTCCTATCTTATTATTTTTAATTTAAATAACTGTATTATGTCCTTGTTAGTTGTTACGTTTTTTCAGTCAACTAAAAAAACATAACAACTAACTAGATGACTCAGATCTAAACCAATGGAATTGCAAAATGTGTGTTATGTTTATGGAGATAATAAACTTGTAGAAACTTATAAAAAAAAGTTACAGAGTTTTTGCATAATCATGAAAATAAACCAGACTTAACTGTGAGTTAAGAACCATTTATTATGCCATTATAGCTTGATTACCTTCATATAACACCACATCTTAAACCAAAAGAAACCTATTTTAATGGTGGTATACATAAATTTCAACCTGAATTCTTTGATACAGAAGGTCAATTATTTGACGTAAAGCAAGAAATCTATCGGTTACCTGATCACATGATACATAATCTTGGTTTGTATTATGGTATTGAAGAAAATTGTGCTTAGGGATATATTAGATAAACTAGAGGCGAAAAGAACTATTAATTCACAGACAGCACTTAATCTAAAATATACTATATCTTTTGCAACTTTTATCCGATTAAAAACTTAATTTCATCACAAAGCACATAGACGATATGTCAGTATTTGTCAGACCAGCTAAAACTGAATCTGAACTTAAAGAGAGATCTAAACCAGTGATATTTTTGTTCGGAAAATAATTTTAGTTTTAGTTTTTATTCAGTTTAGAGGCAAAGTTTTTAGTTCTAGTTCTTATTCAGTTCAGTAAATAAATTTAGTTCTAGTTTTTATTCAGTTCATCTTAAAATAATTTTAGTTTTAGTTTTTATTTAGTTCAATTTTCGTTTGTCGTATAAATTTTTTATCTCATCTAATTATAATTTAGTATAATTTATAAATAATATAGGCATATATAATTAAAAGAAGTAAGTCTTAGCTCTATAAACAAACAAAAAAATGAGAACTTAATTAAATGTAATACACCCAGTCCCATGGCTAGAAGTTTAGAGCCCCGCCCACCGCCCTTAATAAAAAACACAACAACAACCTGTCCTTATTGCTCTAAAACATAAAAAAATTTCAATTATTAGGTATAAAAAAAACTCCTCAAATTTGGTAACAATAAAAACTAATGAATAGTTATTGTATAGACTTTAATAATTACTCATATATTTTACAAATAAAGGGCCTAGTGATTATATGATTATCATCTAGACTAGATGAGAATTTAGTTTTAAGAAAACTCGCATTTCCAATGACGCTGACATTCGATTTCTCCGTCCATTTGTGAGCAAGCCACAGATTGAAAAAGGTCTTTCAACATATGCTTGAGTTGCAGGAGCTGCAATGAGGTCTTCAGCTAATGGTGCAATTGCTATTGGCAAGTGAATCAATGTTAAGGTCTCCAAGCACTTCGTTGATAGATGTCTTTATTTCCAGAAATCTCCGAACCATAAAGTAAGTGCTGTTCCATCTTGTAGAACAGTCGCTGATCACAGTCTTACCATATTTGTTGATAATTTTTTCCAATGCAACAGAAGATTTGCGAACTTTTCCCACTAATCCACGTACCTTCAAAAGTAAGCCATGATATTTACCATCATATGCAAGTTTTACAACTAGCTGTATAACATGTGCAATGCATCCCAATCTTCTAAATGCTACGTTTTCTATTACATCAACTATCAAGTCAACATGTTCCCACTCTTCACTATTTGTCATATTCTCATCGTCTTCCAGATCTGTTATCTGCTCTTCATTAACCTCACTTTCTAATTCAATAAGTATATCACGTTCAGCTTGAGCTTTCATTCTCGACAACTTTATGCCTTTGACCATGTTTGCTCCATTGTCCGAAATAACAAGCAATATTTTTTCTCTGGAAATATTCCAATATTTTAGGCATTTTTCAAAACAATTAGCAATTTGTTCACCTGTATGTGGATGTTTCACAAGATACAAATTAAGCAGAGCATGTATTGGTTTTTCGGATTTGAAGTGAAAAAAACAAACCGAAATTCCTAAAAAGGACGCAGTAAGACCTTTTTTAGTCCAGCCATCAAGGCATATTGTGAAGCGCCTGCCTTCAGATATGAAGTCACGAAGTTTTCTCGTTAAAGCAGTAAATTCTTCATTAAGTAGGCGAGTAATTTTGGCAGAAGCAGGCAATGAAAATTTATAATCCAAGGTATTAACTAACTTTCTAAAACTCGCATTATCCACCAATGTCACTGGATTACATGTTGCAATTATCATTTGAATAAGAGAGTTTAGTCGAATTTTATGCTCGTGTGAATTAATAGGCCATGCGGTATTCCTACGATTAATGCATTGAATCAAGGTCTGGTTCTGATTTGAGGACGATTCTAAAAGAGTGGGTCCATTTTCATCCACTGCTTTTCTCTTTATCCCTGTTTGCTTTTTTTCACTTAATTTCTTTAATTCCGACCCTTCCAGCTCAACGTGTACAGACTTATGGTTTCTTGCTAAATGTAGCTAGAAAAAAATAAACATATTTATATAATTTTTTGTTTGTATATTTATATGTTTATTTATCTATCTGTTTATCAATTAATGTATAAATAAGTTCGTATACGTTATTGAGTAATTACTCTAAAATGATAAAAATGAGTCGTTTGTTTCAAAATGAAAACATATCCTCTAACAGATAAACTAACTTTAAGATTTGTTGGGTTCTTTCCACACAACTTTGTATTGCATACTTTTTCACCATCAAGTAAAACTAAACATACTGATTTGTCGGATGACGCATCGTATTTAAACCATTTCCATACTGAACTATTCCTCTTCCTACCAGCAAAAAGTTTACTCAAACTCATCGCGTAGTTGTGTTGGTCTTACAGTTTGATTTTTTTTAGTTCGAAAAAATATATTCGAATAAATATATTCGAACTATCATAACTAAACTTATTCGAACTTGATTGAATAAAATTCAATTAAGTTCGAATAATATATCATTAAAATGTATTGTAATATAATAATTATATATATCAAATAATTCAACTCGTTTCAAATCTAGAACGAAAATATTTCGTTTTAAAATAATTTTCGATTCAGTTTTTATTCCGTTCGAAAATTTCAAATTATCGTTTTTATTCTGTTCTCGTTCTTAAAATAAATTTCGTTTTAGTTTTCGTTTTTGTAAACGAAAGGCTTTTTTTTTCGTTCTCGTTTTCGTTCTCGTGTACGAAAAAATCACTGATCTAAACAGATATTTTATTTAGTAGATTAAGAAGAACACGGCGAGTTGTTTCAATATTTTTATACAACAAACACTCAAAAACACTCCGTAGTATTTATCAGACTTTATCCGTTGTTTTGTTACGGAAAAAATCCGTTTTCAATAAATTACGGTCTTTTACCTATATATATATAATATATATATATAGGTAAAAGACCGTAATTTATATATATTATATATATATATATTTATATATATATATATATATATATATATATATATATATATATATATATATATATATATATATATATATATATATATATATATATATATATATATATATATATATATATATATATATATATATATATATATATATATATATATATATATATATATATATATATATATATATAGGGAGTTTTGTCACGTGACATTTTATCGCGGAAAAAAATCGTTAATATATTTTTGAAAAACTTCGTCCAAAAAACGCCAAAAATGATTTTATGTAGGTTTTGAAAAATAAAAACCCACCCATGAAAATAAATATTATATACGTACATGTAGATGTTATTTTTTTTAGAAAAGGTTGTACTACAATAATTTGTTTGGGGACGACGTTTTGGTTTAGAATTGATAAAGTTATTTAGTTTTAAATCTTTCAGTTTTGTTAAAATGCAAGTAAATTAAAATAACTCTTTCGTCCCCACGTAAAAATAAGTTCTGCAACTATTTATTTATTAAGTAAACAAGTTTTTTTTTTTTTTTTTTTTTTTGTAGTCTAATAGGGTGGGTTTTTTGTTTTCTAAGTAAAGATTATTATAATTTCCCCCGTCTTTAGATATTTTTGGTAAATTTGCCGTTTCTCTTTTACTTGAGAAAAGATTTTTGCACACGTTGAATTCTATATTTTATATAGCTGAGATTTTATTGTAAATTTTAACTTAAGGTATTCTAAAGTGAGTTTGTTTTGTGTTGTTAATGTGGTTGTTGCTAACCAATTAGTAATTGAATCTCAGCAGTTTATCAGTAAGTCTAATTTGTAACTTAGCAATTTTCTTTTTATACAATTTACTTAATTTTTAAGTTTATATATATATATATATATATATATATATATATATATATATATATATATATATATATATATATATATATATATATACATATATATATATATATATATATATGTATATATATATATATATATATATATATATATATATACATATATATATATATATATATATATATATATATATATATATATATATATATATATATATATATTTAATATATATATATATATATTTAATATATATATATATACATTTAAAAATATATAATATATATATATATATATATATATATATATATATATATATATATATATATATATATATATATATATATATATATATATATACATTCATATAATATATATATATATATATATATATATATACACTTAAAAATATATAATATATATATATATATATATATATATATATATATATATATATATATATATATATATATATATATATATATATATATAATAAGTAAAAGACTTTGAAATAATATATTTATATGTTTATATATTTGTTCGAATTGATGACTGGAAAATCTTTATTTATTTAGATAAAATGATAAATGAAAGTATTTATGATTGGTATTTGGCTTTAAAAGATACCTCTTATGATGCAATATATTGTAGATATAGTTTGGATCTTAAAGTTGAACTGTTCTGCTGCAAGAAAGCTTTAGCCAAAAAGATAAATAGATTAGTTGACACCATCAGAAAATTAAAGAAACAACGAAAAAATTAGCATTGTTATTAGGTGAAGCCTTTTTTCCACCTGTTGCAAATTTTTCTGATAATACAGTGAGTGCATCAGAAATTCCTAAAGAAACAATACTGATAAGCGTAAACAAAATGCTTAAAAAAGAAAATAAAATTTTAAAAAGGAAAATGGAATCTATGATGGATTTACAAATGGATTATTTTACACATCTAAAAGATTTTGAAGATATGTCAAACAATCTAAAAATACTTATTTCGAAAAACTCTCTAATAGAAGCTGAATTAAACTTTATTAAAAAGTGTTATTGTGAAAAAGAAGAAAAGCTTAATAATATTGAAAACAAATTAGAGCTATTAAAGTCAAAAAAAGAATCATTTAATGTTAGAAATTTGAATAAAAAAATAAAATATCGTGATACTTAGCTGGAAATAAAAAAGAATAAAATAAATTCGTTAAAAAATGAAGAAAAAAAAATAATATTGCAATTAAAAAATAAAATAACAGATATTAATTCAATTCTTGAAAACTCAGATATAAACATTTCTGAATTAAAAAACGAAAAAATAAAGCTGCAAAAAAAAGTGAGTAATTTAAAAATTATTTTGCAAAATAAAACCAACTATATTAATGACAACAATATGAAAGATGTTATAAGTTTAGAGAAGGAAGTTGTTTCGTTATATTGTAAGACAAACATTTTAAAAGAGGAGAATCTAGAACTTCAAAAATTGGTTTCTTTGCTGGATGATGACGAAGTAATAACATTTGAAGATGGCAGATACAGTGATGACATTCGAGAAACAATAATGAAACTTCTTTCAATGAACGTGAGTATGAATAGTGTCAATGAAGTCATAAAAGTAGTTTTAAACAAACTAGCCAAAAAGAACATATCTAGACTGCCATCAGCCGCTGTAAAATGTAGGTTAGAGCAGGAAGCTTCAATTTTAGGTCAATTTCAAGTTGCAGAAGCAATGCTTGAAAATAATTTGATAAATAAAAACTCTAAAATAGGCAATTGTTTGCATGGTGATGGTACTCAGAAGTACCATAAGCATTATCAAAACTTTCAAATTACTACAACTAGTGGGAAAACTTTATCTTTTGGTCTGTCAGAAGTGGTTGGCAAAGATGCAGCAACTGTTTTGCAAAACTTTACTAATATAGACATTTGTGACGTTGTTAGCAACTCAGCCACTGAAAAAGAAATTAATTTTGCTAAACTAATAACACAAATAAAATCAACAATGTCTGATCTTTCTTCGGTTAATCCTCTTTTTAACTCACAGTTAAAAACATTAAGGAAAAAACTTTTGCCTATTGCAATTAGTAACTGGGACTTTCTTTCCTCAAACGTCAAAGACAATATGAAGGAAATGAGTAATTTTTTCTGTAAACTTCATTTGCTCGCTAATTTTGCTTCTGAAACTGATAAAGTTTTAAATTCTTTTGAAAAAATTCTGCTTCAAAATGATTTTGAAACTGTTTTTGCTTTTAGTGGTAAAGAATGTGGTGCTGTACGGTTAGTTCGTACTACATGTAAGGCATTTCATTCAAGGGGTAGTGAGGAAGCTGGTGTTGCATCATGCATTAATTCTTTTCTTTCCTCTCGTAACGATAAATCTTATTTTGTTCCATTTATTGGAAATCGATTTAATATTTTGTATTACAATGCAGCTGCCCTATACTATCATAAGGATTCTATAACAGAATTTCTTAATGCTTGGCCTAACCCTAATAATTTATTAAAAGCAATTAAGGAAGATTCCACAAATCTTATATTCATCGCTGAAGTCCGTGCATTAGGTATTATTGACAAACTACTTACTGGTCCAATGTGGAGAATTATCGAATCACTTGATAGTATATTATTTTTAAACCCCTACCTACTTCGCTTGAAAGTTAGACTTTCATCTCTTTGTATCGATGCGTCTTTATTGTTTGCTAATGGAAAAATTTTTGAGGATACCAATCTTCTTCATCAAGATGTGGTTTACACCAAGCTGTTTGAATGCACTCAAAATGATGAGTTTGATTCTTTAACTGTTCAATCACTTGAAATTATTTTCCATGCGATTCTTGTTATTTTGGAACGTCAGTGTGCTGATCAGTTACCAGGTGGTAAATATTGGAATCCATCTAATTCTGTTTCTGAAGCTGCTTCTAATGTCCCTGTCACTAATAAAGCATCAGAAAGCGACTTTGCCATTTTGGATTTAATGGTTCGCACAAAACCCAATGCAAATGTTCAAACTATCCAGGCTTTGACAATGTGGTCTCAGAACCAAACATTAGAATGGCTTAATGGTAAATCAGATGAAGAAAGAAAACAATTGCTTGAATATTCAAGAACTAAAGTAACATTAATGAAAAGCAAATATGATGAAAGAAAAGAAGCTCTTAAAAAAGATAAAGCTATGCACCTTCTAGCAAAGCAAGAAGAAAAAAATCGAGAAGAAATTAAACTACAACATAAAAAGGTTGTAGTTTGATTTCTTCTCGATTTGAGGTTGTAGTTTAATTTCTTCTCGACTTAACTGCACATTATTATTATTATTAAAAAGAAAAAAAAAAAGCTAATGCAAAAATACTATTACTTTTACATGATTTGATAAATTTAAATGTAAGGGCTTGGATATCATTAGAGGAAGCAGAGAAAACAGTTTTTAATATAGAAGAGCCATTGAAATCAAAAGTACTCGGAGCTCAACTTAATTTTAATCACATGATCTTAGGTGTTGAATGTGACAAAAAACTTTTTTGTAAAACAAAGGTAGAAGGAAGCAAAAGAATAAACTTGTCTTCAGAGGAATTATATCAAAATCTATCTATATATCTTGCCTATCAAGTAAAGGAAAGTATCCAGAAATGGAGGGCTAACCTTAGGCTAATTTACTATTA